AGGGGGGGGGAGGCGGGGAGTCTTAATTCAGTCCAGTCTAAAGCAGAAAGACAAACAGACATGGGTCAGTCTCATGGCTCGCTGTCTTGCTGTCTTGCTGTCTTGCTGTCTTGCTGTCTTGCTGTCTCGCTCTTTTTGTCAGTCACATTCAGTGAGTGGGTGGCTGGAGGATGCTCTGTTGTAGTTTGCTGCTTCATTTCTATCGAACATTTGTCGTTTTTTTTGTCCCTCCTCCTCCTTTTCTTTGTATGTTACCTTAAATATTTGATGCTACGTATACGACTTACTTGTGTTGCAAGTGCCGTAAAACTCGTAGTAAAACAAGACCCAGTCTGGTAGAGGAGGAGGCGATGCGCGATTTCGAGAAAACGAAACTTCCTCGACACTTCGAAGCCTGAAGTTACTGTTCGTGTTATTCGAATACCAAATGTAAAAGTTACTATGTTTCTTTTTTAAAAACTTTTTTATTTGAAGTCCATCAGCAATATTGGAAGTGTAATTGACGTTGGGTGATCTGGTGTGGTTTGCTCCCTCTCTCCTATCAACCACCTTGTCGCTCATCCTTTTCTTTGGATGTTACTCTCTTGTAACACCTGCTGTAATCTTCGGAGTGGGTGGTTGGCGGGTGCTCTGGTGTGGTTTGCTTCTTCTTTCCTGTCAAACGTCTATCGTCTTTATCTCCCCTCCATCTTTTTTGTGTTTGTTACTCTCTTGTAACACCTCTAATCTTCGGCACCTATATGACCTTATTGTGTTGCAAGTGCCGTAAAACTCTTACCAAAAAAAACTCGGCGCTTATAGGACCTATTTGTGTTGTTAGTGCTGTAAACCTCTTCCTAAAAACTCAAACCGGAAACCACCTCCTCCTCTTACATCTCGTCCCCCACCCCCTCCTAAGACATCCGTAGACACGCGTGGCGCGCGTGCGAGTCTCACTCTGTCAATTCCTCCAACAAGAGATTTCCCCCCTCATCAACAACAACAGGACCACCCACGAGAGGGCCCCGTCTGTTTACTCCCCGTGATTGGCTTTGATTTCTGCTCAACGAGCGGCCGGCGAGGGTAGGACCTGCATTGTTCCGGGCGAGAGGGTGGGAGGGGACAAACAACAGAACATGAAAGAGGAGGGGGGAGGAGAGGAAGAGAGGGTGGGAGGCGACAAACAACGAGACATGAAAGGGGGGAGGAGAGGAAGAGACACGGGGCAGCGGAGAGGAGGAACGGAAAGACAAGAAGACGTTACGACAAAGGATTAATCAAAATGATCAGGAGTGATTTAGGTGTCTCACACAATGAGGGAAACATCTTCTTCTTCTTCTTCTTCTTCTTCTTCTTTGTTGCCGATTTAAGTGATGGAGGGAAGGAGTGAGTGAGTGAGTGAGTAAGTGAGTGAGTGAATGAGTGTGAGTGAGTGAGAGAGAGAGGGAGAGAAAGAGAGGG